CAGACGAGGCTCTATTTTGAATTCTAATGAGGACGAGGCACAATGAATATTTAAACTGCAATTACAAAGATCCCGCTTTTATGCGGATGTCCTGAACACAAATAACAGATCTGAAAGTACGCATAGGTGCCGATGGAAGATATCAGTCTAGTTTGCGTTTAGAAGCTGGAGACAGACAATAATACTGTTTTCTACTTGATGCTATTATTGGGGTGGGGGCAGGAGAAGAAAAGGGAGGAAAAACCACCCAAAGATCCCAGTAAAAAAAATTTTTAAAGCCCAGGCTTCCGAGTGAAAGGTTCACAAAGAGGTGCTTGAATCCTTTGTTAACAACTGAACAAACAAATTCATCATCGGGCCGTGCTGTGTGGCCCCCTTGCAATTGGGTCTGTCCTTTTAACAAGAAATTTCCTCACTGGGAAAGCATCTAGGACTGATATATCAGATGGGCGAGGACGATATGGTGGCGGAAGGAAAACAAAAGACCATTTCACGGTTCACAGCCTAGTTTTGCACTCCCTTAAGTAAAATGATGATGTGCCGCTGCTATTCTCAGCTTACGCAAGTTCTCTTAGTTAAACAGCCATGGAGTTAACAGTAACCGAGTTACCCTGAGTGAGTTGCTTAATCCCCACCCCCCAAATAGTTAAAACATACCCTGCTTGCAGTATCATGTACTATGTGTTTGTGTTTACATATCAGTGATCAACCTGGCCTTGCACTAGGGAAGAGCAAGTGATTAACTCTTTGCTATGTCGTGAGGCTCTTGGACCAAGCCTTTGCCCCCAGACCGTAATTTAACTTCCATGGCGTTTGGACATCCTTTCGTAAATGTTAGCATTTATGGAAAGGGAATATGGTTTGTTTTCTTCTTACATGTCCTCTGGTTGAGTTTCTCTCCTGCTGGTACCAAATATGCCCACTGAGACTTGAGTTTCAGTTACCTTTTATTTATAGAAATTCTGTTTGATCCCGTTTCAAATCTTCTAGGTTGTTCTTTATAGTTCCTATTCTCTGAAGATACTTTCAAACTTGTCATGTCCTTCTTTAAATATAATCATAATTGATTTTATAATCTGCATCTGATAATTCTAACACCGCAAGTCTACGCAGATCGGTTTCTGTGGTCTGTTGCTGATCCTTGCTCGTCTTGTGGGGTTTCCCAATATGCCACGTTATCTTTGAGTGTGTGCTGGTCATTGCCTTGAAAGTTTTTTTTTTGGTTGATTCCTAGAGACCAAGGATAAACATGCTCTCCCCTCCAGAGAGGTATTTCATTACTTCTGCCAGGCACCTTGAGCTACAACAGGTAAATACAGCTACCCAGGATACAAATGCACAGGAAAGCCTTTCTGTGACCACAACTTGTCAGGAACGATAGTTTTTCCTTTTTCTTCTTCTCATCTGTTCAGTGCCAAGGCTGCCTTCTCCACAATCCCCAAGGACAATTTATTTCTGGTATACTTTTATCCCAAGGGTTTGGGACCCTACTTTAATGGGAAAAGGGTCTCCTATTACACTTCCCAACTAGGGTGGGCCCAGGACCTTACCTTCCAACTCCACTTGCCTACCCCTCTCAGGCTGCAGAAGTCCCTGACTCATGCCTGCAAGTGGGCTTTATTAGATTAAAAAAAAAAGAAACTACTAGAAAGTACCTAAGAGTTTAAAGGCTGAAAGCAAAGCAAAAGGTCAGGTCAGTACTGTAGCTACCCCACGAAAATTAAAACTGAATTACAATTTGATTCAGCAATTCCATTTCTGGGCATGTACACAAAAAAGCAGGGACTGGAACTGATACCATACACCCATGTTCACAACAGCCAAAAGGTGGAAACAACCCAAGAGTCCACTGACAGATAAATGGATAAACAAAATGTGGCATAAACCTAACAATGGAATAGTATTCAGCCTAAAAAAGGAAGGAAATTCCCGACACATGGTACAACAAAGAGGAATATTGAAGACATTACACTAAGTGAAATAAGCCAGATACGAAAGGACAAATACTGTACGGTTCCACTTATATGAGGTACCTAGAGTAGTCATATTTGTAGAGACAGAAAGCAGAGTGGCGGCTAACAGGGGCTGCTGGGCGAGGAATGGGGAGTTAGTGTTTAATGGGTGCAGACTTGCAGTTTGGGAAGATGAAGAAGTTCTGGAGATACACGGATGGTGGTGGTAAATGCACAACCATGTGAATGTACTTAACGCCACTGAACTGCATGCTTAAAAAGACTGACAAGGGTAAAGTTTATGTTAGGTATACTTTACCAAAATAAAAACTTTTTTTTTTTTTTAAAAGGTCAGGCTAATGTTGCTAAGGGCTGCTAGACCTAATCAGTAAATTGCACAATATACCCTGAGTTCCAAGGCTTAATACTAATCAGGGGAAGACTTAGAAGTTAATTAATGGGGGTCATGAATACAAGTCTAACCTCCCTAGACCTTTAGGGCCACACGCTGAACCTCCATCAATATGCAAAACTAGCACTGCTTGTCGACAAACACATACATAATTGCAAAGGTCCCTTGAACAAATGCAAATGCAAAACATTTTTCTTTAAAGGTATCAGGCACCACAAATGATATAAGGATAGTTATGTGGTGTTGCTATACTATCGATAGAACTGCTAAATAAATATTAGGGGGGAAACTGAAGAGATAAGAGAAAGAATTCTCTAAAGTATTTCCATTGAAAAACATTGGAGAAATTTCTTCTTTCAGCATCTGTTGTACGGTTGTACCTCCCCCTTCTGAATCACTACATATAATTCTAATACAGATAATATATATACTTATAAGTAAATATAAAGGGGGCATGAGATCAATTCACACTTAACACATTTTAAGATACCAACACATGTTTAAAAAACATGCATTTTAGTAATTCTGGGCATCTCTAAATTTCTCCTGTTTTCAAAAAAAAATTAAACAGCTCAGCTCAGAAGATTTTATGGATATTTATGGCTATAAAGAGCAACACCAGGTAAAACTACAAAATAAAAACTTGGCAACAGTAGAAGCCATATTCTTCATTATGACGTCATGAATGGCATGTGGTGAGGGCCTCTATGTTGCAAATACAAAATCTTACTTGCTTAGTGCATGATTGCTTAGTGCATGAAAAAGACCTCAGGAATGTTGTCTCTTAACTGGAAGATTCTTCCTACTTTCAACATATAAAGATAATGGCTAATACTTGCTCACTGCTTATTATTTGCTAAGAACTGCTGTAAGGGCTGTATATCCCTACCTATCTATCTACTTACCTACCTACCTCTATATCATCTATATCTTTACCTACATTAACTCATTTATTCCTTACAACAACCCTCCAAGATAGGTACCATTATTATTCCCATTTCAGAGATGGGAAAATCAAGGCAAAGGGGAGCGGGTTTTCACAAGGTCACACAGCCAGTGAATGGCAGAGCTGGGATTTGAGCCCAGGCTCTGGGGCCCAGGCTCTTAACTATCGTGTTCTACTGCCTGACTGCATAAAATATGGAAATTCAGGGACGATGGCGAGTGTCGGACACTTACATATTTTATACAATTTCATTTTTATAACCAGGTCATCTATTTTTTTTTTAACAGCCAAGGAAACTAAAGTTCAGAAAGAATAAGTTTATATAAGAATCGAAGATAATAACAGATGGAGGTGGGAGTGAACCCATCTATCTCTGTCGCCAAAGTTTCAGGATCTGGTGCAAAGAACAACATCCCTGTGGTTAGAAGTTATGAGAAGGCCGGTAAAGCAAGATCAAGGAGGCTTTGCTTTGCGCAGGAAGTAGAAAGAAGCACATGCCTACAGGCGCAGAAGCACAGAGTGGCTTGCTATCTGGTGGATGAGAACTGCCAGGTTACAGGGAGGAGACAGGTGATAAAAGGGCAGCAGGTGGGCGCCTCCAAGTTCCACTTCCTCTGAGATTCCAGAGTCCATATTTGCCCGGTCCTCCATCACCCTGTTGCTCTAGATTTCTGTTTAACCACACACACAGGCAAGGAAGGTAACACTTCTCAAGCTGTGCATCCCAGATGAACCTCGCACAGAGATCCTTGTTCTAAAACTGGATAGGTGGGAGGGATCCAGTATATTTTTCATACCGAAAGGGCTAAAAGTCAGGCAAAGCATGTGCTCAGATCGTTAGCTTTTTTTAGTGCTACTGCATTTCTATTTATAACAAAGTTATTAGCCTTATAAACGTGGTGCATCTTTGTGAAGTGAAGGATCAAATAACCATGACTGTGATTACTGCTAGTGTCACCACCATCCAATGTCACTTACCTGTGGGCAAGGCACTGTGCACAAGCAATAGATCATTGAAATCCCACAAACACGTGCATCAGAACTTCTGCCGAAGAGCAAGGACCCACATCGGGATTGTCTGGTGCGCTTGTTAAATGACGAACACTCTTGAACCCCAACCTAGCCCTACTCAATCAGAATCTCGACAGGAGGGCCAGGGAATCAGCACTTTAAGAGTCATTCCCAGTGATTCTTATTTTGGCCCGTGTTTCCTCATTTTACGTACAAGGTATTAAGAAATGATAACTTCACTAAATAACAGGATATACACTCATTTGGACTTTAGGATCTGTGCTCTTACCTGCTCTACGGCTCAAGCTTCAACAATGAAGCCTGTGACTAAAACAGGCACAAAACAAGCAAGATCGCCTTTAAAACCCATGAGATCTGCCACCACCAGTCTGCAGGATGTCATAGAACTTCCCAAACTATTATTCTCGGTAAGCATACAGGAAGGTTTCTTACTTTAAATTAAAAAAAAATTAACAACGCATTATACTTCCCCTGCCCTCATAACAATTCATTTCATTTTAACAAGATTTAGGGATCTTCTAGCAATTTCAATGCTTCATCACATGAAACTGCCTGTACTAGAAGAGCAACCAAATCCCTGCGGTGAAATGAGACCAACGTGGGAAGCTTATCCGCAAATGATTAGAGAGGCAGAGCTATAACTACAGCAATCTCTTACCACAAGACGTGGACTTCCTGTCCACCAGATTCACACGCCTGGTTTCGGTGCGAAGTTTCTCATCGGTATTCTCCACCAGGTTGGCAAGGTCATCAATTATCTCTATAAAGGAAAACAAAGATGCATGGTTAATACTCCAAAAATACCTTGGCTCACATCAGAGTCTCATAGCTGTGGTGGTCCTTCCTAGTAATAATTCTCTCAACTGCAGTGAGTGAGAAGGTTTTAAAGAACTCATGTATATTCTCTGAAAACTGCAATTCTGCTTCATTAAAGGTTGGGGGTGGGGTCGGGAGGGAAGGAGTAGTAAAGAAAAAAACGAGTTCAACACAATTCCAGGAGACAGAGGAGAAATGTCAAAAGTTCAGGGGAAAGAAAGCATGACCCAACAAATTTATGCCCAGCCAAGTTGTCATTGGAGTATAAAGACGGCAGACAGACGGTATAGAGGACTTCAGGGACCACTGGGATCCTTCTTAAGAAAACTACTTGATGATGAAATCTAGGCAACCAAGAGGTGAATAAAAATACAGAACTCTGGGCTGGAGAAGCCAGAGGCCATGACATAAGAGATGACAGCGAGAACTGAATCCATTTAAATACTGAGCTGAGAACAAATAAATATATGGATTAGGTTACAGAAAAGTAGACAAACATAATAAACAGTGACAATGGAATTATAGGTGAAAATCAGGAAGCAGTTGGGGGGCGGTGGCAAGAAAGGTAAGGCAGCAGCTAAGATGTTAATTTCTTCATCACTCTCAGCAGAGTCACATCAAGCTGTTGGAAAGTAAAACATATAGAGACTTACAGCTTTGTAAAAATCACTAAAGCTTCAATGTTTTATGTTATTATTTTGTTAACCTTAAATGGATCTTTTAGTAATTACTACCTCTTGGAGAGAACTCTTCATGTGAAGTTTTTTTTTGTTTTTTTTTTTTCGGTACCCGGGCCTCTCACTGTTGTGGTCTCTCCCGTTGCGGAGCACAGGCTCCGGACGCGCAGGCTCAGCGGCCATGGCTCACGGGCCCAGTCGCTCCGCGGCATGTGGGATCCTCCCAGACCGGGGCACGAAACCGTGTCCCCTGCATCGGCAGGCGGACTCTCAACCACTGCGCCACCAGGGAAGCCCCTGAAGTTTATCTTTTAAAAGTGAAATTAAGCACTTAATATTAAAATAGCATATATAATATGACCCTAATTATGTAAAATTATTTCTATCCCTCCTTTTATACATACGAACCTGTAAGGATATATCCAGACAGTGTTAACCTAATATTAATAATGACTATTTCTATGTGGTGTGATCCTGGGTGATCTTCCTTGTATTATCTGTTTTATTTGAATTTCTTATAATGAGCTCTATATACTATTTTTTTTCAATTTTGGTTCTTTTTCCTCCCTCCTTCCCTCTCTCCCTTTTTAGTGATTGCTTTAGAGATATGTTGTCCAATACGTTACCATTTTTATTAAAGAATGAAATAAAACCCATAAGGAAGTCAAAGAAAGCTTTCAGAAAGTTGTTTGAGCTCAGTTTGGACGGCCATGTATGTGGGTGAAGAAGCAGGAATAGTGCGACTCACGTAAAAAGAGTAGCATGTGAAAGGCACAGAAGAGTTGGGAGGTCTTTCTTCCAGCTCCTACAGCACTTCCTACAATCTTTTTACTTAGAGACCCTTTTTGTTTGTATTGAATTATCTGTTTGCATGTCTTTTACAGAAAGAGTATGACAGACACTAACTTTTATTCATCTCTGTATCTCCTATCCCTAGGAGAGTGCCTAATATACAGCAAGATAAACACTAAAAGATAAAGGCCGTGAATGAATGGAGTGTAAAAGATAAAAGCATTGAATAATTTCAAAGCACTGAATAATTTGCTGCTTCTTAGAAAAGTGGAACTAAGTCAAATTTGCCCAATATTATCTGTACAACACCTGCCTAGAAAATATTTCACTATTATTTAACGATCCCTTCATAACTATTTCCTTGTATTCAATGACATACTCTCCCAGTTTCCCTTTCACTTATCTGTAAGCTCTGTCTAGTCTCCTCTTCCTCTTAAATGTTGGTGATCCCTAGAATTCTGTATATTTCTCTTCTATTTTAGTTTTAAACTTAAAATTTTAATATTTAAATTTAAAATATTTAAATTCAATAATTTAATTTTTAATATTTTAAATATTAAATTTTTAATTTAAATATTTTTAAATTAAAAAAATTTTTCTGCTCTACATAGCTCTCCAAAACTCCTTGACTCATATAGCCAACTGCTTACTACTTATCTCTACCTTGAAATTCCTACAGATATCTGACTCTCAAGGTCTCTAAAACTAAACTCTTCATCTTCCCTCAAACTGGACTCCCCTATCTTCACTGCCTCAGTTAATGGCACCACCATTCATTTTTGCTTGCCCAAGATGGAAATCTTTTTTTTTTTTCCCGCTGTGTTGGGTCTTCACTGCTCTGCACAGGCTTTCTCTAGTTGCAGCAAGCGGGGGCTAACTCTTCGTTGCAGTGCATGGGCTTCTCATTGTGATGGCTTTTGTTGCAGATCACGGGCTCTAGGTGCACGGGTCTCAGTAGTGGCAGCAAACGGGCTCAGTAGTTGTAGCGCGCAGGCTCTAGGGCACGTAGGCTTCAGCAGTTGTGGCGCACAGGCTTAGTTGCTCTGCAGCACGTGGGATCTTCCCGGATGCATTGGCAGGCGGATTCTTAACCACTGTGCACCGCAATCGGTAGCCCCCGCTCGCCGCAACTAGAAAAAGCCTGTGCATAGCAACAAAGACCCAACGCAGCCAAATATAAATAAATAAATTTATATTAAAAAAAATTGACAATACTAATTGTTGGGGATGATTTGGCACAAAGTTAACTGAAGAAATATTTGTCTGTTCTACTCCAGCTAAGCATATATCTACTCTATGACCCAGAAATTTCACCCTTAGGAATTTACCAAACAGGAATAGAAACATGTTTCTCAAAAAGGCCTGTACAGGCCTTCCCTAGTGGCACAGTGGTTGAGAGTCCGCCTGCCGATGCAGGGGACACAGGTTTGTGCCCCGGTCCGGGAAGATCCCACATGCCGCGGAGCGGCTGGGCCCATGAGCCATGGCCGCTGAGCCTGCGCGTCCAGAGCCTGTGCTCCGCAATGGGAGAGGCCACAACAGTGAGAGGCCCACGTACTGCAAAAAGAAAGAAAAAAAAAAGACCTGTACAAAAATATACCCAACAGCGATACTCATGAGAACCCAAAACTAGGAACCACCTAATATCCGTCAATAGGGGAATGGATAAGCAAACTGTGGTATCTGTACTGTTCAGTAATAAAAAACAAAGAGCTTCTTATAACTGTAACAACTGTTACTTTGTTGGCTAAATAAAAAATAAATCTCAAAAGCATTTTGTTGGCGAAAATAAGAAAGTAATATATACTTAATAATTCCATTTATATAAAGTATAAGGACAAACCTAATCTACTAGATAGAAATCAGAAAGCAGTTGCCTCTGCGGTGGGGATGGAGGGGACTGACTGGAAAGGGAGAAGAGGGAATTTTCTGGGACGATGGAAATGTTCTAAATATTCTCACAAACGTATGCAGTTGTCAAAATGCATGAACTGAACACTAAGGTCTGTACACTTTGTTGTATGTAAATTATACCTCAATTAAAAATGTAAAGCAGAAACAACAAGGACCTACTGTATGGCACAGGGAACTATACTGAATACCCTGTAATAACCTACAATGGAAAAGAATCTGAAAAATATATATATAAAACTGAATCACTTTGCTATACACTTGAAACTAACACAACATTGTAAATCAACTATACTTCAATAAAAAGTTGTTTGAAATAAATACATATATATATGAATTAGAAAAAAAAATTGAAGTTTACAATATCATGATACTTGTAGGATTTTCCAGAAAGGAAGAAAAAAGGAAGGGAGGGAGGGAGGCGGGCAGGCAGGGAGACCTGCTGCGAAGACAAAGCAAATGACTTAGAATAACAAAATTTTCCAGCTGCAAGAAGTCAGGGGATCATCTTGTAGCTCCTCCCCCTTAACAATCCCCCTCCCACCCAGCTCCCCACCCAACCCCGTGCCAGTAACACGGAAGCTCGTGAGAAAATCAATTTCATGGCTGAGCTGGAGGGTGCCTGTAATTCTAAGTTTCTATATTTCGAGCTGAAAATCTGCCTGCTTTTAACTTTCACCTTCTATTTCTAGAACAACACAATTCCAGTGTTCTTCCTTCCAGAAGACAATTCTCCTCGTATAACTCCTTAGTCTTGTCTTCTCAGCTACAGACACTTAGCTCTGAACATTAACAGATTGTTCAGAGGAAGCGATTTCTAGATCTCGTGACATCTTGATGCACTGGACACTGTATTCATCCTAAAATGTGACGCGAGGACTTGGATCCATCGTTTCAGGTTCTGTCCAGTCAGCACAGAACACACTGAGTTTAGACAGAGTAGCACATATAAAAGTCAGTATTTTTAAGTTCCATTCCTCATGTCCTATCAGGATATTCCATAGTAACAGCTATGCTTCCTAGAGTTGCTTGGTCCATTGTTCTCATGCAAATGATGTTTTAATGTCTCAACATGTAATATAAAATTTAGACTTAATAAGCTTCTAGCACTATAAGAAAGTCAAGTGCAAAATACTCCTTGTCAGATACTAAATACAATATGTCAGCTGTTATATGTTAACTGGGTTTCTGGATAGAGTTCTCATTAAATTTGTAAATATTCATAACAGAGGTAAATACAAAATTGGTAGAAGATTAGCTAAGCAAAAATCAGTAGTCAACAATGAAGGGGTTAATGTTTTCATCTCAGCCCAAACACGGAGTTTTTCATATTGGTTGGTAAACCTCATCTGATTACTAGTTTGTTTGCTTTAAAAAACAAACAAACAAAAAACCCTCTATTTTTAGGTGATAAAAATCATTTAATAGCAGTTTATAAATGAGAGGGGTAAAAGTACAAGATTATCCACACACCCCAGTAACCACTCCTATGGATTCCCTTCTAAGATTTGACATAAACTTTTTTTTTTTTTTTTTTTTAGCGGTACACGGGCCTCTCACTGTT